ATGTTTATGTAATGATCTGTTTATATGAAGATATCTCCAAATACATTCTCACTAGTTCTTTAAGAGGTTGACGATATCTCCAAATGAACAGGGAGTGGTAGTTATTCTGTTTTTGATATCACCTTTTCATTTCTGACTAGTAATTATTGCAATAGTGACTAGTATTTATTTAAATATTACTAGTAAGCATTCATTAGATACTAGTACTTATTTATTAGATACTGGTATTAATTCATTAGATACTAACTATTTAATAGATACTAGTAGTTATTCATTAGGTACTAGTACTTATTTATTAGACACTAGTATCTTTTGTAATTACTACTAGTAACAATTCTTATTTTACTAGTCAGATCTACTTTTTTACTCATCTTATGTTATGATTAGTCCAAATGGCTACAGTATAGTTCAATTAAAAAATGTACTAGTAAAATAAAAAATCTTACTAGTAACATTTCGAATAAGTACTAGTATCTAATAAATGTGTACTAGTATCTATTGAATAAGTACTAGGTACCTATTTAATAGATACTAGTAGTTATTCATTAGGTACTAGTACTTATTTATTAGACACTAGTATCTTTTGTAATTACTACTAGTAACAATTCTTATCTTACTAGTCAGATCTGCTTTTTTACTTGTCTTATGTTATGACTAGTCCAAATGGCTACAGTAGAGTTCAATTAAAAAATGTACTAGTAAAATAAAAAATTATACTAGTAACATTTCGAATAAGTACTAGTATCTAATAAAGGTGTACTAGTATCTATTGAATAAGTACTAGTATCTACAGTATTTAATAGGTACTAGTATCTAATGAATGAGTACTAGTTTCTAATAAATAAGCACTAGTACCTAATGAATAAGTACTAGTATCTAATAAATAAGTACTAATATCTAAAAAATAAGTACTAGTATGTAATGGATAAGTACTAGTATCTAATGAATAAGTACAAGTGTCTATTTAATAGGTACTAGTATCTAATGAATGAGTACTAGTATCTAAAAAATACATACTAATGAATAACTACTGGTACATAAAAATTAAGTACTAGTCACTAGTGGAATACATACTAGTCAAAACTGAATAGTTAATATCTCAATGATGGATCCCCAATAGAAGTCAATGGCAAAAATTTTTAAATTTGTTACTAGTAACAATATAATAATTACTAGTCACTATTGAAATAAGTACTAGTATATAATAAATAAGTACTAGTATCTAATGAATAAATACTAGTATCTAATAAATAAATACTAGTATCTAATAAATAAATACTAGTATTTTATCAATAAGTACTAGTATCTAATGAATAAGTACTAGTACCTAATAAATAAGCACTAGTATCTAAAGAATAAACACTAGTACCTAAAGAATAAGCACTAGTAGCTAAAGAATAAGCACTAGTACCTAATGAATAAGTACTAGTACTTAATGGAAAAGATACTAGTATCTAAAAAATAGATACTAGTACCATGAAAATAGATACTAGTACGGCTTATAGATTAAATGTTA